TTTTTTTTGGAAGAAACACCCGGATTGGCGCTACGGGTGCTGGTAAGAGCAGGCACCGCTAGCGCCGTCGGGAGGGCTCCATCTATTGGTGGGGAGCAGCACCTGCTGGAAAACGGGTCCAGCATCCCTGTACATGGTAATCATATGATTGAACAGTCCAAAATTTGTGAAGGGTTATATTGTATGTGCTTAATCTGTTGTGTAGTGGTGAGCAGCATTGATTGCCTTACTGAGAGGGGATTGAGTGCTCAAGCACACCGTGCCCATGCTGGAAAGTGGGTCCAGCGTCCCATTGTCGTGTAGTCAACAAAACCTATCATTCATGTATTCATGTATTCAAGGGACGCTGGACCCGGTTTCCAGCAGGTGTTGCTCCCCACCAATAGATGGAGCTGTTTTTGTTAAAAACAAACAAACAAACAAACAAACAAACAAACAAACAAACAACTTTTTCTTTCTTTGCCCATTTCAAACTAAAATGGTGACTCAGGAGCACTTTCCCCTATTAATTTATTATACATTATATGCATACTATTATTGAATTTCTGGCGGCCGGAAATTGAATTTTCAGAAGCTCAGAAAATTCAATTTGATGACCGTTTTTTTTTTTTTTTTTTTTTTTTTTTTTTTTTTTTTTTTTTTTTAAGGGGCCCAGTGCCCAAGGCTTGTATTGATATTTGAGAACATTGAGGCCGAGGTCCTCACAGTCTACCCGGAGTAACCAACATATGATGATGATGCGAAAACTGATGATTTTCTGCTAATCAGAATCATGATCTGACTGCATGTATAAGTTTATAACTTTTCAGACATTGAAGTTCTGGCAGGTCTCATGAGAGGGTTGCATTTTTATCTGAGTCCATCTGGATTCAAACTGGAGAAACGGTTAACGGAGGCCTCAATTTTCAGACCACTTGTCAGAACATTTATAACAAAACCCAAGGGTCATTTTAACCAAACTTGCCACCAATTCGTAGTCTAAGAGTGGAGATCATAGTAACTACTTACACAAACAAAATTGAAAAAAGAACTTTAAAAAGCTATAAAACAGCAAGGCAAAAGTGTGTTTCCATGCAAAATTCACCCATTTCATTTTTCAAGATTTTCAGGATTTTTCAGGGCTAGCCAAAGGGGTCTATTTCAGGAGTGGATCTGAACGAGTCCATCTCGTTTCGAACTGAGGTCTGTATTTCAACAGTTCATGGGTTTACCAACTGAGCTAGGCCCATCTTATAACAACGTTTTCAGACATCGAATATCTGACAGGTCTCATGAGAGGGCTTGAACTTGAGCTTGTGCAGTTGGATTTTATCGTACAGCATGCAGCAGTACTTGGACTCCCACCATGCAAGCCCAAATTCGACAAACACGATGCCTGAGCACCCCGTGTGGCTGCTGCACGCATGCTTACACCCAGGCAATGTTGCGGCACCCACATTAACGCCGCAGTTGATCTTTTGAAGTGGTTTGCCGTTGTAGCTGGCATTTGGCAAGCAATGGTAATAACCGTATGCAGGAGAGGGGCAAATGGCGAAAACGACCAACAAGATGAGCGAAATGCCGGCGAGGAATGGGATCACCGATGAGGTCCTCTTCATCTTGTTGTCTGTTGGTTGCTGCACACCTGGTGAAACTCTCCTCAAGATCTTGGTGCTCCTGCTGCTGCTGCTGCTCCTGCTGGTTCTCTCTTTCTCCTCCTCCTCCTCCCTGTCCTGCTGCTGAGTGGGATGGTTGATGAGGAGGATGAGGAGGATGGTCGGTGTGTTCGACTCGTGTCTGAGAGATTGGACATGAAGACGAAAACAGGCTCCGTTAGGTGATTCCATCAAGCCACACAAAGTTTGGCACGCAAAGGTAGGCTCCATTAGATTCCGTCAAGCCTCACAAAAACAAGTACACAGGCTCCATTAGATCATTCCATCAAGCGAGACAAACGTAGGCACACAAGAACAAACACCGGCTCCGTTCGATATTTCGTCAAGCCAGGGAAAGGTAGGTACATTGGCACACAAAAGGGCCTCATTCCACACCACTTATCTTATTATACGACACGAAGTGTTACCTATCTACTTTTTACCTATCTACTTCTCCGAACACAATATCCTGAGTACCTATGATTAGTGACCACATCTGCGAGCATGTGATGTTTCGACATAAAATCAAGCCCTTGTAAATGAGAAAAACCAGGTGCTCGAATTTTACAACGATAAGGACGATTGGTTCCATTGCTAACTAAATATACACCAAATTCTCCTTTGGGTGCTTCTACACAGGTGTACGTAGAAGAAGCTTGTACAGACACACCGTCCGTGTAAAGCTTAAAGTGATGAATAAGGATTCCATGGTGGGCCAGGGTGATTAATTTACCCTAACTCTTTTTTTCGTTCCGCAGCCCGTAAGGAAGACCGTACACTTACCCTCCATTACATCTCAGGAAAGGAGGGCCGGGTGTCAGGACCTCGACCTGTCGGGCAATCCATAGGGTCCCACCCTTACATTTCTAGTCACCTCCGGGGGCTCCCTAGAGATTTTCGTGGTTTTGCCTGGGACGCCCTCATTTTGTAAGGGCGGACCCTAACAGCCAAGAATGTGAAAACAGGCTTAGGGTTCTATTTTGTTGTCATTAGGGAGTGGTGGAACCATGATTTCCTAAGGACCTTACATTTGTAGTGGTGTCGGACGATGCCCGCCACTTGGTGTGAGTACGCCCACAATTTTTTATTTTTTTTTCCCTTCCTTGCGCAGGGGCAATGCTAATCTTCTCTGTATCGTTCCAATTTTAACGGATGTCCCAAAAGGACTACGCCCACAATTTTGTGAGTGCCCAAATTCAAGAAAACGTACGGGCCACTACAGGAGCGCCCAAATTCATCCAACTAGAAACGTTTCTACTCTATTTGTTTTTGCGGCCAATAGATGGGCCCAAGTACTGGGGGTTTAAATTACGCTCATACCCAGCAGCCGTTGTGGCCCCAGCGGTCCACTCGGTCAGCATGAGCATAATTTTGAGGTAGGTCATTCAAGGCCTGCCACTTGGCGTGGGCGCAGCCACAATTTCACCAGCTGAAATTATAGTCATACCCAGCAATGGTTAGGCCTGCAGGTGGGCATGAGCATAATGTTGTAGTATGGCATCCAAGGCCCGCCACTCGGCGTGGGCATGGGGGTACACGCACAACTTTGCCAGCCTGGTTTCTGGGCATGAGCATAATTTTATTAATTTCAGGGTCTGGAAATGAGGGCCTGGGGGACTTGATACACCTACAATTTCCTTCTTTTTCCCCTTTTAAACCACCAGTACCTCGCTCAGCTATTGAATCCGAGCCTCCCAGCACGCTGCGCGCCAAGTCCTGCCGAACCGCTGTCGCAATTTTCTTTTTCGTTTTGCCTGCGGCCTCCAGCCAATGCGGAAGCCCAAATGGCGCGGCGCACCGCGGCCGATAGCTGGGCCAGGTACTGGTGGTTTAAAACAGGTGAGGGCCTTGAGATTTCATCGCAGATCTGATCTGCCCCAATCAGAAGTATTTTATTTCCTTCATCTGGGCCGTGGTCCCATTAGCAAAGAGGATCGGATTGAATGCCTGAATCTGGACGTGTTTGAGGACAGCAGCAGGAAATCGAGATAGAACTGCTTTTCTGTATCTCTGCATAAAACATAGCCAGCTTCAGGATTTCTATCCTATCCCCTTCGCCAGTGGGACCACTGCCCTGGAGTGTGGTCCAATTAGCAGTCGGATAGGAGTTTGGCCCATCCAGTGTGACACTGTGTGGCAGCGGCCTGACAGGTTCATTACGAATTTCTGGGCTGAGAAAACAGGAGAAAGGCAAAAAAAAAAGAAAAAGAAACAGAGACCTCCCACCAGGAATCACGGCAGAGTGCTTCCCCAGCCATCAGATCACAGAGTGTTTCCCAGCCATCAGATCACAAATGATCTGATGGTGGTCGCGGTGGTTGCAACAGCAGTGAACAAAGTAACTGCCACATATTTCTTTCTTTTTTTTTTTTTCTTTTTTTTTTTTTTTTTGAAAAGGAAGACGGCCTTGAGATGTCATCATTGAGCTGACCGGGCCCCTGAGGCAATTCATTAGTAGTTGGTTTTTACTCATAAAGTTCCAACATCTGGATTCGAACACAAGTCTGTGTTTCAACAGTTCATGGGTGTGGTCCCCACTGAGCTAGGCTCTTGGGTAACTGCCACATTTTTCTGGAATGCACTCGACTTCTGTCAGGAGTGATATATACTCCATGATGGGAGGAGGGCTCCACCCACCAAATGAGATAATTGCGCAACAGCAAGCAAAATACTGAAAATCCTCAATCCATTGGGCCTATGGCCCATCCCACCCTCTTTTGGGGTTGGCCATAGCCCCAACGGATTGAAAAGATTTTGGCAGGAAGCTGCCTTTGCACCGTCATGCCCAGTGTTAAGGAGAGAAGGAGGGGAACAAAGATCTCCTTACCTTTTTTCGAGTAATACATGTAAAATACTGACCGGGGGATCACTCAAAGAATACTGATCAGGGGCCAACAGTCCCTCAAAGAATACTGATCGGGGCCAACAGTCCCATTGCTTCCAGGGGGGTCACACTCAACTGCCACACAAACTATTTTCTATCCTATCCCGTTGTTAGTGGGACCATGGTCCTGGAAGCATAGGGCCTCGCAAAAGAGGTAAGAAATCATACGTCCAGAATATGTCCAGAATCTTCTCTTCTCTCAATTTCACCTCACACTACCTACCAACCACTACTCCTTTTTTTTTTTTTTTTTTTTTTTTTTTTTTGAGTCCATGGTGTTGTAGAGGCCGGTCACTGACTGCACAGTGATCACCTGGAGCTGTAGGCCGCGGGTGCCCTGAAGTTGAGACCACCTTCCCATCCCATCCTCACGTCAATACTCCTAGCGCATTCCCTATCCCACTATCCTACCTCAGTGTGACCAGCACTCAGGACCAGCTCCGTACCAATGGGCAGGCAGCTTTGGACCGGACAGCGGTGACAGGCACCAGGGCTGGTTACCCAGCCCTGGTGGAAGCAGAGTCGGACGAGCCCTGTCAAACGAGGACTTCGAATGCCAGGCCCAGACAATGTACTACATGTCTCATAGCCACTAGATAGTTCTACCCGATTATCAGCAGGAGCTCCGGTGACCAGCCTCGCACCCACTACAACACACTAGACCCTACCCAGTGACAGACCCCCCCAGTCTGGTAGTTTTTGGACAATTCGCAACCCATGTGTACATCCGAATAGCACCCTGTGGTAAGCCTTAGTGGGCAGTCCCAGGCAGTTCTACCCGACTATCAGCAGGAACTCCGGTGACCAGCCTCGTACCTGCTACGACACACTAGACCCTACCCAGTGACAACCCCCGGGAAGGCTATGTATGCTCTGTGAATTGATATATGGAAGTGTACAGACAACATCATGTGTATACATCGAAGAGAGGACATGGGACAAGCTGGAAGGACTAAACCAAGCTCGAACCCGTGACCTTACAACATACAATCAAATGACTCAACCATATGGACAACCAGTGGAAATGGAACGAACATGTGATACGTCAGACCGGGGAGATCAGCAGAGCACCGAAGACCGACACCCCCAAGAAACCCATGTGCAACCCAGAACCAACATACAACACCATGAACCACCCTTGAGTGGTGCGCAGGCAGTGTCTGTAGTAGTACCATGCGTCAGCCCAAGGGAATGTATGTCCAGCCGTGCGTCACTCTAACGCCCCGCCGGTGTCCATGCGGAAGGCTGCGGAGTTTTGAGCCCGCAACCTTACTCCTAATTGTAGGCATACGGGAACCCCGTAGCAGCCAGAACCGTGTTCACGAGAGCACATGCGGGGGCTGCTCCCTACCTGCAGGTGGGCGATACCGGCCAGGGGACAGCCGGTACCATCAGGGACCATGCCAACAGGTCCAATCCCTGCGCCTCCCCTCAGGTCCCCTCCCCTACGAACATCAGCAGACTCTGCTCAATGCGGATCCGGGGATCCAGTGGCCTATCTCTAGGTAGCGGGCGCCAAGCATGCCCAGGAACGGGGATTAAACCCACGACCTCCTGGATGCCACTTGCGAGCCTTACCAACTGAGTTAGGCCGCTGGATTATTTCCAAGAATCCGACCTCTACAGCAACCTAGAAAAAAAAAGAAAAAAGAAAAAAAAAAGGGGCTCCGTTAGACTCCATCAAGCCAGACAAAGGTCGGTAGGCACTCAAAGACGGACACAGGCTATGGTGGTCGACGCCGTCAAGCCAGACAAAAGGCCTTGCTCCACTACACAACTGCGCATGCATTTGGTGACTTTCTGGACCAGGTGCATTCGAACGAGTCCAGCCTTTTGCATGCATCAACTCCACAAAGCGTCGGAATGCATGTAGAAAGGGTAGGCAGGCACTCAAAGAAGAGAACACACACACACACACACACACACACAAAAAAAAAAAAAAAAAAAAAAAAAAAAAAAAAAAAA